TTTTCTTTTTGCTTATGTGGTGCTGAGGAATCAAACCCAGGGCCTCAGGCATGCAAGGCAAGTGCTCTACCACTGAGCCACCTTCCCAGCCCCTCCCTGAGACTCTTAATTCCATAAACTACTCAGAAAAGGCCAGAAGTGGCCCCGTGGCTCAAATGGTAGAGCACTAGCCCTTGAGCAAAGCTCAGGGACAGCATCCAAGCCTTGAGTTCAAGCCCCAGGACCAGAAAAAAAAAAAGTTTTATATTTGTCTACTATGTAAGTCTCAGTTAGGTAATGTGAAATTTTTCTGTGGAAAATACTCCCTAACTGTATATGAATAAACACTGGTTACTGCGGAAGTTCTAACAGAGCTAAAAATAAAAATTAAGTCAAAAGTGGAGGTGTGTAGTTCAAGTGGTCAAGTAATAGCCAAAGGAGAGCCAAATGCCCTGAGTTCAAGTCCCAGTATTGGCACAAGCATGTGTGTGTACACATACACACAAAGTTGAAAAGGATATTACAGATTCATATGTTATTTTTAAAAATTTTTAGCAATTTTAGCTCCTCATGAAGGAAATAAGAGTTAAAGTCTTCTTGTAAGTTCTTTTATGTATTAATATATTTTAGTAATATAAATGAGCCAGAATCCTATGTATAAAAATAACCTATGTGTAACATAAAATGATTAATAACAGACACTTACAAAGCAAGGCATATTACAAGCAAATCCGCAATGTGAACCAACTTCATTTTGTTGGTGGTACTTGGGTTTGAACTCAAGGCCTTATGCTTGCCTGACAGAAACCTCTTGAGTTAATGACATCCCTAGTAAACTACCTCTAAACAGCAGCTTCTCCAGTAAAGATTGCTTACATTTTTTGCTTCTGGAATATGATATAAATGAAGCATTTAACTCCAAGCCACTATGGAGCACTTACTAAGTATAAAAATACTATGAGAGGTACTTTAAAATGTAAAGGATTTAGAATAAAGTGGAATTTAGTGTCAGAATACATGTCTAGCAAGACCCTGGGTTTGAGCCGCATACTAAAAGAAAACAAAAAGACAAAAAAAAAAGAAGAACTAAAAGATTAAACAAACCACCTTCACTGTAACATCAGCATATCTAGGAGTAAGAATCACAAACTAAATCCCTCCAAATCAAATTTCAAACAAATGCCCACAGAAGTGTTATAGCAATATTACAGTATATTTTCTTAATCTTAGTCTAAAACAAGTTAAAACCATTGTAACTTTCATAAGAATTCTGAAGAATAGTCTAATACTGCAGCAGAGAGTCTAGCACTTAAAACCAAAAGACCTGTGAGTCAGTTGTGTGAACATAGGCAAATCAATTATTCATATTGAGTTACATTTTCCATAACTATAATATGAAACTAATATCGTCTACATATCTTCATTAAGTATTAAATGCAAAAACAGACCAAAGCAAGATAATAAGCTATTAGTTAGCCAAACACTATTATTTTTATAAGACAAGATATGTAATTTAGCACTATATACATTTCATACTTAGGAGAGGAGAAAAAAGATGGAACATAAAACATGTTCAAGCTATTACTAGGTACATCTTTCTGGATAATCTATCAAAAATGCAAGAATATTTAATAAGCAGCCTGGTGGTAAACTTGGTTAATCAAAAAGAAAGCAATCAACACTTCAAAATTGTGCTTTACCTAGTCATAAATTCTTCAAACTTTGAACTGGTAAGGTTAAGGCTGGACCAATGTGTATCTGCCACAGGCTTGTGCTCTGGAGGACCCAGATATGCAAGAAGTGTTGCCATCTTATCAAAAGGTCGTCTTCCAACAGCTTTATGATCCCTAGATAAAGCAAACTACTTAGAAAGTAGTAGATCACATTGAACAGTACAACGTATTTCTTTAAACTGTTATTTGTTGCTTTTCTTCTTATTGACGGCTCCTTTTATTTGCAAACACCACCAAAAAGACCTCATGGGTGCATGGGTGTAGTGGTGGTGCCTGCCAGCAGTATCAGTTTCTCAGGAGATGAAAACAGAGAGCACTGTGCACAAAAAAGTTGGGTCAGGACACTCTTCCATCTAGTCTCAACAGATAAGCTAGATATGGTACATGAGAGGTACAGGTAGGAGTATAAAAAGTGTGAGACTCTATCCAAAAACAGTAATGAAAAAACAAAGAAGAGGGGCTGGGAAGGTGGCTCAGTGGTAGAGTGCTTGCCTTGCATGCCTGAGGCCCTGGGTTCGATTCCTCAGCACCCCATAAGCAAAAAGAAAAAAGCTGGAAGTGGTGCTGCCGCTCAAGTGGTAGAGCACTAGCCTTGAGCTGAAGAGGTGAGGGACAGCACCCTCCCCCCCCCCGCCCCCCCCCCCCGGCCCAGAGTTCAGACTCAAGAAAAAACGAAGAAGAGGGGGTAGGGGAGTGTTTTGGCCCAACAACAGAGCACCAAAGAAGAAAAGAGCTAAGTTTAACTCCTGTATCATTCTCGATCACCAAAACACTTCAGGGATAGTAAGTATATGCTGAAACATGTTTAATAATATGGCCATTTCCTATGCTATAAAATTCACATTTGATTCAAATTTAAGTGTTCTGTAGAATTCACAACCATTATCTAATACGCCATAAATCAGAATTTTTTTTTTGGGGGGGGGTCCGGTCATGGGGCCTGAACTCTAGGCCTGGGTGGTGTCCCTCAGCTCTTCAGCTCAAGGCTAGCACTCTATCACTTAAGCCACAGCACCACTTCCGGCTTTTTTCTTTTTGCTTATGTGGTGCTGAGGAATCAAACCCAGGGCCTCAGGCATGCAAGGCAAGCGCTCTACCACTGAGCCACCTTCCCAGCCTCAATAAATCAGAATTTAAAATTAACATTCTCATCTACTTTCTCTCAGGATAAGAATCAGTCTTAGCAAATCAATGTTTAGAAAATGGACATGTTTATTCAGAAGAATTTGGTGAATTTAAATTATCTTTTCAAGCAAGGGTCTTGATACATAGCTCAGGCTGATCTTGTCTCCACCTCCCAAGTACTAGGGTATACCACCCCCAGCTCAGAAACCTGAATTTTCAGTAACTATTGAATATGTAAAATAATATGTACTAATAATGAGATACTATTTCATAAGCACGATTATTCAAAATAATGTCAACTTTGATGAGGATGTACATAAAGAAATATTGTTACATAATCCTGTCGAAATGCAAAATTAGCACATGTACTAATAAGCTAAATAAATCTCAAATAGAATGCTGCCTGAAGAGGTTATATCATTGCTATAATTTCTTTTCTTTTGATTTGGTGCCAGTCCTGTAACTTCCAGCTTTTTGGGGTGGTTAACTGGAAATAAAAGATTCTCACAGAATTTCCAGCCCAAGCTGGCTTGAAATGCCTATCCTTATATCTCAGCCTCCTGAGTAGCTAGGATTATATAGTGCGAGACATTGGTGCCCAGCTCAATTACTGCTATAATATTTTAAAACACACCAAATTGTTACAAAGAACTATAAGTTCCTTAGTCACATATATGTGCAGAACAGTATAAAATATATCCAAGAAGCATGCCCACTAGGTTTTAGAAAGTAGATATGTTTACAGAAAGAAGCACAGAAATGGTATTGTTGAAAAGAAGCCTTTACATACGTGTGTGTATAAAATATTTCCCTCTCAAAACATAAAATGTTATAAAAACCTGATTAATATAGAAAAATGTATGTTGGCTGAGCATCCCACGGTTCACACCTATAATTGTAGCTTTTCAGGAGGTTAGATGTGGAAATTGTGGTTTAAGGCCAGCCTGGTCAGAAAAGTCTGTGAGATTCTTCAATTAATTAGCAAAAAGCTCAAACCCCAGAGTAACAGCTAGGAGCATGAAAGCTAATCAAGTGTGATATCCTAAATTTAAGCCCTGGACTGGCAAAAAAAAAAAAATATTAAAGCTAGGTGAATCCGTTACTGTCTGTACTTTTTTGGAATCATGTGGATAGAGCATCTTCCTTTTCTATTTTAGGAGCATGCATCAGTAATGTCCATGTCTACTTCAATCCATTTACAATTCATAAAGGATGAAACTCCCACTGCCTTGGCTCTATGGTCTCCTAATTTTCTTACAAATGAGCAAACCATTTTTATTGGTCTCAATGCAACTTACTTTTGAAAAGGAACTCCCTATCCTTAGGAATCTGAGCCCTTTATAAACATATATACACTAAAAAGGACACCAAGTTATTTATGCTACAAAGAACTTTGATGAAAACATAATGAAGTTAATTCAATTATTGGGTATTTTATGTAAAAAGCTTTATCTCCTTCCTTCCTCTCTCCCTCCCTTTTCTCGTCTTTTCCTTTCTCTTCTCTTTCTCTCTTTCTATATATTTATTATCAGAACTCGAATTCAAAGCCTTACACTTGCTAGGCAACCTTCTACCCTTTTTGCTTTAGTCATTTTTTAGATAAGAGTCTCGAATTTCTACCCTGGCTGACCTTGGACCACAAAACTACCTATGCCTCCCAAGTAGCAGGACAAAGTTAATTCAAGATCATGTCTCAAAAAAGAAGCCAGTGAGGCAGAGGCAAGAGGATCTCAGTGTAAGGCTACCATAGGCAAAGTTACTGTGTAACCCTATCTGAAAAACAAACTAAAAACAAAAGGATAAAGCACTTGCTTAGCAAGCATGAGGACTTGAGTCTAATCCCTAGTACCATACATGAAAAAAATCAGTAATATTTATAGTTGGTTTTTTTTTAATTTCATATGATTTAACCATTGGCCTTATTTTACAAGTCCAGCCAGGCACTGGTGGCTCACACCTATAAACTTAGCAACTCAGGAGGCTGAAATCTGAGGACTGCAGTTAGAAGCTAGCCCCGAAGTATAGTCTATGAGACTCTTTTGTTCGTTAAACTACAAAAAAAGCTGTAAACAAAACTAACTCAAGTGGCAGAGGACTAGCCTTGAGCAAAAGCAGCTCAGGAACAACATCCAAGAGCAGAGTTCAAATCCCAGGCCCAGAACCAAAAGAAAGAAAAGTTCATGTCTCTTTCCAAATCATAATTCTTATTGCAACAAGATGCAAAGCAAAAGGCACTATTCATGACCAATTGTTTAAACTTAGTATTTGGTTTCCCCATGACTGAGAAATCGTACCTGTTGCTGGAAAGGTATTGCCCAATTTTTTCTTGGTTGTTCCAAAGCAGACGATGTAAAGCAAGCACATTGCCATCACTGATGAAGGAAAGACTATGGTTTACTGCATCACTTGTGGGACAATCTGATGCCATATCAAGGAAAAACCTTTAAAAAGCAAAGTGAGTAGAATTTTCAACACAAAATATACTCATACCTATGTGTGAATTAAATTGATACAAAATATAATTTGTGAAGTTACTGAGATTACAAACACAAGAAGCTTGTTCACATAGTGATTGTCCTTAAACCAAGCAAAAGAACAAGGAGAAATTTAACTTTAAATTATAGTACCTGGCTTCAGCTTCAGAATAGGCTCTGAAGTCAGAGAACTACAAAATTAGATAGATGAAATCTGGAAAGAAGCTAGTATTTTACAGACAAAGAGAGAGAGCTACAGATCAAATCAAAGACCACCCCTGTCTCCAGCAAAGTTACAAAGCCTGTCTATCCTAGCCGGGATCAGAACCTTGGTTCTTTTAACTATGGAAAGTCCATTTGTTAGAATACAAATCCTCTGCTGCTATTCACTCCCTCCAATACAGCTTGTTGTTCAGCAATATACTTCCTAAGCTCTAATGTCCCCAGCAGAAAGAACTGGAATTCAGAACTGTACAAGGCAATTTAGATTTTAAGAAGCCTTAGAGTTACACTGTTGAAAAGTAGAATTCTGGCATTAATTTACATCAATAAAGTACTTTTTCATAAATTACCTAATTTGTTTCTTCAAAAATAACTCAGTAAAAGACAGTATTATCCCTAGTTTACCATTAAGTCAACTCAGAAAAAAAGTGAAGCAATTGGTTAAGTTTTAGAAATCTAAAAGCATAAAGCCTCAACAGCTCACTTATTCATAAGATCTTATGACTTTTTACATTATTTGGCTTAAACAGCAACTTTTTAATGTACATACAACTCCAAACAGTATCAAAAATATTCTAACACCAAAAATTTTAATTATACCCTATTATGAATAACCCTTACCAATTTGGTCTGCTTTTAAGGAAAGGAATCTGTCTTACTCCCATATTATAGCAAACTCAAGTTCTTTATTTTAGACGTATCAAAAATCTCTCCTGGTTTTCAATTTAAGAAACTATCACCAAATTCACTTCATGACCTTTTCTTTATAATAAGAATACATTCTTAGAAAGGAAAGAAAAAGCCTACAGAAAAACTTAATATAGATCAGGTACATGGATATCATTAAGTGAACTTGACTTGACTGAAACAGCAACTGACGAAGATCTGGTTGCTTACCTTCGTGCCAAATCAAAGTTGCTTTTCACAAAATCATTAAAAGGCCGCATATGTTCTTCTTTAGTGAAGAGAACATGATTGGCAATACTCTGAAGTATCTAAATAAACAGTCACAAATAATCAGAATATTTACTATATGATATTGATAATTAACATATCATTTAAAAAAGATGAATTGTCTAATACAATTTCTACTGGCAATTAAAATCTGTTTCTTATTCTGTTAGTCTAGGTATTGTTTCTACTCTTTCCACATACAATAATTACATACATATATTTTAAAAGATACACACAATATATTTAAATATTTAAATGCATTCTAAATAAGAGATTCTATAGCCAACATTTTGGTCTCCATTTAAAAATTCCAGAATTACACAGAAAACTATCTTCAGAAGATGGTATTTGTTAATGTAGTTTTCTATGACAGAAGGAACCTGCCTAATGAATTACTCGGTAAGATAACCAAATTAAAACAAAACCATAATTGAAATATACATGACATTTCAAAGTAAATTAATGTCAGAATTCTACTTCTCAACAGTATAAATCTAACAGTTCTTAAATTCCAAAGGATGTATTATGAGTATACAAAACTGAAAATTTAGTCAGAAAGGAAATTTGAGGCAAACAGATTATCAAAATAATTCACCTTTGACATTAGCTTCAAGCCTCTTTCAATTCTAGGTGGTGGTTTTTTATCTAAAATCCCTGCTTCATATGGTGAGACAATAGCAGGATTGATAAATCTGAGGAACATGGCACTTCCTACTGCACCGATGCTGTTCTGAGGGAAACGTTGGCTAACCACCTAAAAACAAGGAGTTGAGAATTGAGTATAAGGCTGAATTAAAATAAAGAAATGGAACCAAAGAGCTCAAAGGTCAAACTTGGCTCAAAAACTTAATCCTCACAATGATACTTTCCTAATTTTCTCCTCCAAACATTAGAAAACAAAGTTTATCCTTAACTATATAATCTTACATCATTTTCAAGCACAATGTACTTATTATAATAGGAAAACTTGAGGACTGAAAAAAAAGATCTTATTTTATCATTAGTGTATATACTACAAGTCAGATGAACAATAAAAATATTCAATTTCACACAAAGATTAACATTTTAAAAGATTAAAAAATGTGGAAGAATGGTCAATTTTTATAAGGTGAAGCTAAGTTTCCAATAGCACATACCCTAAATATCCCACACGTAAGAGTAAACATTTCCACTTTGTTGTTTACCATAAACACATGATTTAAAAAAAAAATCTTGCCATACACAATTTTTTTTCATTGACTGCTACTAGAAAAGACATCTCACTTCCAAGCAATGCTACTTACTGCCAGTTCCCTCCTTCAATAGCATGCTTTCCAATATAAGCACCTTCCTATTACTAAAACAATTGGAGAAATGCACATTCTTGGAGACCTAAAAGAAAAAAGAGGATCTCCCAAAACAGACTGCCTGTGTCTACCTCAATCTACAATTCTGCCAAATTAAAAAAAAAAAAATCAAGGAAACCAGAAATGGTTGGCTGTGCTATAAAGAAAACATGACCCTTTCAAGCCCCACGACCAACAACAACAAAAAAAAAGAAACATGACCCTGTCATCTAAAATCGAATGATATAGGGAGTGGCACAAGTTTACAATCCTAGTACTTGGGAAGTACAGGCAGAAGAATTTCAAATTTGAGGCCAGCCTAAGACTACACAGACCCTGTCCCCACCCCCCAAAAAAATTCCTCTTTAAGGAAATATTAAAAGTGTACTATTGGATTGGATAAAGTGAATAACTCCCATCTCTTTCCAGGGCCCTTTATTTTAACTTAATATATTAAAATAAAATTATATTGAAATTTTATTTTATATATATACTTATATAAATATATAATATATATAACATATATATTTATATATTTTATTTTTTATATTTTTTTCATTTGATATGGCTAACTTGATATGCCAGCTAGTAATTATAATGATGAAATTCAATATTCTGGGACTTCAGAGATAAATCTTTGTTTTTAAGGATACTGAGAAGGGGTGGGATGAGAAAATGGGATGTATGTGCAGACTATACTATTACAATTCTACTCTTCTTCACTAGGCCTCAATAAAGTAATACTTTGTGTCATGAATTCACATAGCACACTAACTTTCTTTGTGTGTGTGGGTGGGAGGCGTGGTTGTGAGGAAACGTGTCAGTATTGGGGCTTGAACTCAAAGTCTAGGTGCTATCCCTGAGTGTTTTTCAAAGCTAGAATTCTACCACTTGAGCCACAGCTATACTTCTGGCTTTTTTGGTAGTTAGCTGGCAGTAAGAGTCTAAGGGACTTTCCTGCCATAGCCACTTCAAACTGCAATCCTCAGATCTCAGCCTCCCAAGTAGCCAAGATTACAAAAATGAGCCACTGGTGCTCAACTGCACTGCACTGACTCATTTCGAATGTGTAGTTCTGGATTACCTTGAATTTCACATGACTATCACAGCTGCTAAGAAATTAGTAAAAATAAGGTGATTTTTTTTTAAGCTTAAGAAAGTCTTTGTAAGAGGTAACAAGTGAGGTTATGTTCTAAGTAATATATTCTCACCTTCAAGTACACAACATAGCTTAGTGAGCTTTTTTTGGTATTAAATTCTTTGGGTGCTTGTTGCATGAAAAACACTGAAATAAGGAGAAACTAAGGAAGATGGCTAAATATGGTTAACAGAATGGCTTTAAACCTTAAATACTACTTATTTTTGGCTGAAATGTAGTTTTAGCTAGAGAATTAAGAAGAAAAGTCAAAGTTTTTACTAACCAATTACAGTATTTAACTTTTTGAAGACTAGAAACCTCTTTGATAAAAAGCTAAAAAAATAAATGTACCCACCCACAAAATTCCATCATATCATTTCAGAATATTCAGAGGCAACCAATGATAACCAAGTAATTCTGACAGAACTTCCCAATAGTTATTTTTTCCTTTAATTAAAAACAAAACCTAGCCGGGCACCGGTGGCTCAAGCCTGTAATCCTAGCTACTAAAGAGACTGAGATCTGAAGATCGCGGTTCAAAGCCAGCCCAGGCAGGAAAGGCAGTGAGACTCTTATCTCCAATAAACCACTGAGAAAACTGGAAGTAGCACTGTAGCTCAAATGGTAAATCGATAACCTTGAGCTGAAGAGCTGAGGGACAGTCCTCAGGCCCAGAGTTCAAGCCCCACGACCAGCAAAAAACCAACCAGACAAACAAACAAAAAACTCTACAAGACCTTAAAGCCTTTAAGGAGTGAGCAAAAGGTAAAAGATCAAAAACTGAACTTCTGGGGAGAGAGTAATTAGTGGAAGGGAAGGATGTATATGTGCTGGGCACCCATACACAAGCTAAGCACAGAGTCTATCATAGAATCCATATCCTTCCAACCTCCCAAACTGTTTATCTTCAATTTTAAGTAGGTTGTTTAAAATTAATAGTAATATACTCAGTTTAACCCATTAAAATTTGAAATAGTTTTTAAAGATTTTTTTTAATTTTATTTTATTTGTGAACATACTGTACAGAGGAGTTACAATTACATGGGCAGGATAATGCGTACATTTCTTACCAAGCATTGCAGCCTCCTCCTTTGTTTACCCTTCACATCCCTTCCCAGCCTC